CACAGAACAAAGGAAAGCCACAAATCAGCACACTTGCCATGTACATTGAGGGGGACACTATGGATAAAAGTGAAGCGAGGAAGTCTGTGCTCTAGGGTTCAGATGCTGCATGGCAGCAGTATTTGCTTTGGGAGTGGTAGACACTGGTGGTTTGCTAAGTTACTGCTTTCTAATGTCTCTACCTGATAAATCAAAGTGATGTTAGATCACATACAAAAGAGGGTTCTAGATGGCTCTTGAGAGAACTATGGGGCTGGGGAGCTGACTCTACAGGTAAAGGTCCTCACCTGTAAACCTGATGGCCAGAGTCTGATCCCTGAGTCCCACATGGTGGAAGGATCCTCACCTGTAAACCTGATGGCCAGAGTCTAATCCCTGAGTCCCACATGGTGGAAGGAGAGAACCGGCTCCTGTAACTTATCTTTTCATGGCCACCCATGTGATGTGACATGTGTGTTCTCTCTCACACACAGACACAAAGAAACGTAATTTAAAAATTAAAACAAAAATAGCTGGGCAGTGGTGGCCCACACCTTTAATCCCAGCACTGAGGGGCAAAGGCAGGTGGATCTCTCGAGTTCGAGGCCAGCCTGGTCTACAAAGCAAGTTCTAGGACAGCCAGGGCTATGTAAAGAAACCCAGTCTGGGGAAAAAAATTAATAGATATCCAAGAAAGATAACTTTGGATTTCAATCTGTAACAGCCCAACTCTCCACAAGCACAGCTCTAACCATCTAGTTCATCTGCAGACCTTCACTACAGATGCAGCCTTTTCAGGAAACCTCTAGTTCATATAAGGAGAATCAGGAGTTCAAGTCCAGGGTCAGTGTTGATCTCTGCAACATAGAGGATGAATGAATTCTGGCCCTACACCTGTCCTTGGTGCTGGGTTTTGAGATTCTGGTTTCTTCTGGTTAAGTATTCCAGCTCTGTGGCCACAGAGAGAAAGCTTTCTTGCTCATTTCCTAGGGAGAGTGTGCAGGTATTTCTAGAACCCATCATAGGTCAGGCAGCATCTGTCACTATAGACTTCATGCTGTCTGCACAGCTCTGGCTTCCCAGTGAGAAGTGTCTAAGCTTGACCTTCTGACTTAGACAGTAACCTGCTGCCTAGCATGAAGACTTTCTTTATCTGGCCTCAGGATTCCTGAGAGTCGCAGCAGCTCTCACCCGAGTTTCTTATTGTGGGTTTCTTTACTACACCTGGCACTGGGATTCTGCCTTACTGATTCCTGTGTGAACTTTGTGAGCTCTCTGTAATGCTTTGCGTGATGGTATTTCATTGAGAGTCCCTGTACTTTGGGGAGGGTGCGTGCCTTCCGCATCTGCGTAAGTCACTAGATGGCCCAGTGTGATTTCTCTAATGAGGAAAAACATACAAAAAGCTTTTAAATGTGTTTGAAGACATGGTGTTTTTTAATTTTTCCTTGAATTGAAAATATTTTTCTACATGATATATCCTGATTCCAGTTTCCCTTTTCTCTACTCTTCCCACTTCTTCTCCACTACACTCCATCCAGATCCACCTCCTTCTTGTCTCTCCTTGGAAAACAAACATGCATCTAAGGGATAATAATAAAATAAAATAAAATAAAATAAAATAAAATAAAATAAAATAAAATAAAATAAAATAAAATAAAATAAAACAGAAACTAACATATCAGAATAGGACAAAACAAACAGAAAAGAACCAAAGAGAAGGCACAAGAACCAGGGACCCATTCATTCACACATGACGGAATCCCATAAAAACACTAAACTAGAAGCCATAATATATATGCAGAGCACCTGTAGTGTCCAAAATGTATACATATATATATATAATTATAAAATAAGAATAATAACATAAAAAATGAAAAAAAAAATCTCTGACACAACATTGTGAGAGAAGAAACCTTTGATGCCATGTTTTCTATCGGCCATCTACTGCTGGGCATGGGGCCACTCTTAAGAGTAGTTTGTTTCCTTAGTTAGACTCCCAAGGATAAAATGAAATTTTCATTTGCAAGTAATTATCAATTGGAGGTAGCTTCTGGGTTAGAGATGGGGAAAAAAACTGAGATCTCTTCATTTTTTTCTGTAGGCACTTAGTGCTATGAAGTTGCCTTTTAGAACCACTTTCATTGTGTCCCATGAGTTTGGGAATGTTGTGTATTCATTTTCACTAAATTCTAGAAAGTCTTTAATTTCTTTCTTAATTTCTATCTTGACCCAGATTTTTATTCAGTAGTGAGTTGTGAAGTTTCCATGAGTGTATAAGCTTTCTGTTATTTTTATTGTTGAAATCCAGCTTTAATCCACGGTGGTCAGATGGAATGCAGGGTGTCATTTCAATTTTCTTATATCTACCAAGACTTGCTTTGTGTCCAAGTATGTAGTCAAATTTGGAGAATGTTCTATAAGGTGCAGAGAAGAAAGTGTTTTCTTTTGTGTTTAGATGAAATGTTCTGTAAATATCTGTTTGGTCCATTTGGTATATAATGCCAGTTAGCTCCAGCACTTCTCTGTATGGTTTTCAGATTTCTAGATGGCCTGTCTATTGGTTAGAGTGGGGTATTAAAGTCTTACACTATTAGTGTGCAAGAGTCAATTTGTGATTTAAGTAGTGGTGTTTCTTTAAGAACTTGGGTGCCCTTGTGTTTGGTGCATAGATATTAAGAATTGCAATGTCCTCCTGGTGGATTTTTCCTTTGAGTATGTAGTGCACATCTCTATCTCTTCTGATTAGTTTTGATTTGAAGTCTATTTTGTCAGATAATTAAAATGGCGACATCAGCTTACTTTTTAGGCTTAGAATATCTTTTTCCATCCTTTTACCCTAAGGTAATGTCTAGTCTTGATGTTAAGGTGTGTTTTTTGGATACAACAGAGGATGGATCCTGTTTTTCCATCCACACTGTTAGTTCGCATCCACTGATATTGAGATATCAATAAACAGTGTTTATTGATTCCTGTTATTTTGCTGGTGTGTGCATGCGTGTGTGTGTGTGTGTGTGTGTGTGTGTGTGTGTGTGTGTGTGTGTGTCTCCCTTCTTTTGATTTGCTGGTCTGTGCTGTGGATATTGCTCTGTACGCTGTGAATGTGTTGCTCTGATTTGGTTGATAAATAAAATGCTGATTGGCCAGTAGCCAGGCAGGAACTATAGTATAGGCAGGATAAACAGAGAAGAGAGTTCTGGGAACAGGAAGGATGAGTCAGGAGTTGCCAGCCAGTCACAGAGGAAGCAAGATGTGAAGGCAGAATTGAGAAAAGGTATCAAGCCACGTGGCTAAACATAAATAAGAATTATGGGTTAGTTTAAATGTAAGAGCTAGTCAGTGGTAGGCCTGAGCTAATGGCTGAGCAGTTTTAATTAATATAAGCCTCTGTGTGTTTACTTGGGTCCAAGCGGCTGCAGGACTGGCAGGTAAGAGAGATTTGTTCTAACCATGGACCAGATGGGACACAGAAAAACTTCAGCTACAGGTCTGGGATTATTTATTCCTTGTGTGTTCTTGACTGTGGCTAACCTCTTTAAGTGGGAGTTTTCCTCCTGGCACCTTCCATAGCACTGGATTTGTAGATAGATATTGCTAAATTTGGTTTTCATCATGGAATGTCTTATTTTTTCCACCAATTGTGTTTGAAAGTTTTGCTGGGTATAGTAGTCTGGTCTGGCAGATGCAGTATTGTCGAGTCTGCAACACATCTATCCAGGCCCTTTTGGCTTTGAGTCTCCATTGAGAAGTCAGGTGTAATTTTAATAGGTCTGCCTTTATAGGTTACTTGATCTTTTTCTCTTGCAGCTTTTAATATTCTTTCTTTGTTCTGTACATTTAGTGTTTTGATTATTATGCTCCAAGGAGACTTTCTTTTCTGACCCAATCTATTTGGTGCTCTGTAAGCTTCTTGTGCCTTGATAAGCATCTCTTCCTTTCAGTTGGGGAAGTTTTCTTCTATGGTTTTGTTGAAAATATTTTCTGGGCCTTTGACCTGTGTTTTTTATTTCCTTCCTCTATTCCTTTTATTCTTAGGTTTGGTCTCTTCATAATGTCCCAGATTTCCTGGATGTTTTGTGCAAGATTTTTTTAGATTTAACATTTTCTTTGCCGGAGGTATTAATTTCTTATATTGTGTCTTCAATGCCTAAGATTTTCTCTTCTGTCTCTTGTGTTCTGTTCCTGAGGCTTGCCTCTGAGGTTTCTATTTGAGGTCCTGAATTTTTTATTTCCAGATTTCCCTCAGTTTTCTTTGTTGATTCTATTTCCACTTTCAGGTCTTGAACTGTTTTATTCATTTCTTTCTACTCTTTGTCTTTTCACAGATTTCCTTAAGAGATTTATTCATTTCTTCTTTAAGAACCTCTATCATATTCATAAAGGCTATTTTAATGTCTTTGTCTTGTGCTTCAGCTATGTTGTGGTACTCAAGGCATGCTGTGGTAGGGTTGTTGGCCTCCAGTGGAGACATAGTGTCCTAGCTGTTATTGTTTGTTTGGTTTGGTTTGGTTTTTTTGTTTGTTTTTTATGCTGGCTTCTAGGCATTCAGGTTTGGGAAGACTGCAGTTGTAGGTGTTGATATCTGGTCTTGTGTTTGTTGGGTGGGTATTTTGTTCCTATTGCCTTCTCTGGTTCTTAGGAGAGTGTGGTGGCTGTGATCCCTGGTAGGAAATTCTTCTGATATTCTGCTAGACGTGGCCACCGGGGAGGGGGGTTCCAGATAAAATGTGTTTTAGGAATTAGGAGCTGACACTTAGGAATGAGGATGACTCTAGGAAGGGGTGCTGAGGAAGGAGGGAAGTAGATGTTCCATCACTATCTGCTTAGTCCCCTGGGAATGCAGGCAAGGAGGAATGGGAGGCTGCAGCAGGTGGTCTGCTACACAGCTGGAGATGAGATGGGGGATTGGACTTGGAGCAGCAGAGGAGAGGTGAAGATCTGCAGTTAGCCTGCCTGCTTCCCTGGTCAGAGTCAAGAAATGTGTTAGTTCAAGTAACCTTTTCTTCCTCCATTCTTTTCAGGGCTGAGTTGGAAGAATCACATAATTATGACACAACAATTTCATATCTGAGTCATTCTGGCAACTCCATTAACCTGTGTGCTGTAGGAGAAACTGATGATGGTAAGTCTGCTAAGCCAATTAATATTATAACCCTGTGCAGAATAAGAACGTGTCAGGATGGTATTTTCCCTATAGCTAATGATATGTTAAGATTTCACATTCATTCTGCTCTGCCATCTTATTTCCTTTTTTATCTCTCCCATCTCTTGTCTCTTAACAATAGGTATCAGTCCAGCTGGGCATCAGCACTGATCTGGACTCCTAATAAGTGACTCCTACTGTGTCCCTCTTCCTTTCTGCCATTTCTTCTCATCTCTAATCATCTTAACTGCTTTGCCCTTTGTAGGTGTGTAGGAAGAAAGTCAAGACAGTGTGATTCAATTTTTTCTCACTTCTCTTAAGGAAATCTCACCTCGCTTATCATAGCATTCTTGCAGTTACTTAGTGTGTAGAAAATGAGATGACCCACCATGAGAATTAGACTTTGTGTTCAATCTAATTTAAAAAGGGGATTTATATAGTAGCTCTTGAGTCCAGAGCTAAATCCTCCAGCCTCTGGTGATGCTCAGAACATTTTGTGCAAAGGAGATGCTCAGAGAAAAGGAACGAGAAGCTGAGATGCAACATTACTGTAAGGTTCAATGTCTTTGTTCTACAAACAGCATCATCCACTTCTCTACAGAAGCTATAAATATTAGTGCTACAATAAATAACAGGACTTACAGACCCAGCACTATGGATTGTATTTCACTGCTAGTTCTTCTGTGCAGATACCTGCAGATTGAATGCTTCCATCCCTCACTACAAGAGACAAGAGACTGAAGACTAGAGAGGCTGAGCTGTACATAGTGACCCAAGTACTGTGTGGTAGAGCAATAGTGCAGAACAGGCTAAGCCTGTCTGGACACACCATGCCCTTTCCATAAATCTAAGCTGCATCTTACACAGGGGAGCTTATCTTCCTTCAAGGAGGCTCCAGAAGGTCTTCCGGCTCAATTATTGCTGTACAGACAAGAAGACTTAGGTTCTAGGAAAGAAGTCATTGTTCTGGAATATATACTTAGAAAGTACGTGACATAAAACATGAAGATATATTGTCATTTCTGTAGCAGGCTTTTTCCTTTGGTCCACCAACCAGCTCCCAAATCATGACACAGAGACTTACTAGTTATGAATGATTAGCCTAGCTTAGGCTTATTTCTGGCTAGCTCTTTTAACTTAAATTCAACCGGTTTCTCTTCACCTTTTGCCTCAAGGCTTTTTAACTTTCTTTCTGTGCATCTTACTGTCACTGCTTCTCATGTCTGCTGGCTGGTGGCTGCCTAGCTGCCCTGGGCATCTTCCTCATTCTCTCCTCTTCTCCTTCTCTTGTTCTTCTCCCAGGCCTAGATTTCTTCTCCTATTTATTCTCTCTGCCTACCAGCCCCACCTATCCCTCTCCTGTCTAGCTATTGACCATTCAGCTATTTATTAGACCAATCAGGTGCCTTAGGCAGGCAAGGAGAAACAGCAACACATCTTTACATAATTAAACAAATGCAGCACAAACAAATGTAACATACCTTTACACAGTTAAAATAATATTCCACAACACATTTCACTCTCTAAGAGTGAGAAATTGAATAACTACTGGAAAATTCTACTGGGCAAAGTCTATTATCAGCAAAGACTGCCTTGAACACTTAAAATTTAAAGGGTAGATTCAGGCATGAGATGGAAGTTTTGCAATTGATTATTAATGTCTGCCATAGGTGTAGGATTTTTGTTGTTGTTTGCTTTTTGTTTTGTTTTTCATTCATTGCCCACCCTGTTACAGAGGTGTTCTAAAAGTCTAAGAAGACAGACAGTTGTCCTTGTGCCCTGATAACATTTGAAATGGGATAAGTCAGATCACTTGTTAAAAAAAAAAAAAACCAATGTGCCTATGTGGTTTGCAGAATATTAGCCATAGGAATAGAGCAGGGCTTTTCACTTTCTAACATCTGCATTGATCCTTGGGATCTTCTTAAAATACAGATTCTGGCTCCACAACTCTGGTATGTGGCCTTGGAACCTGTATTTCTAACAAGTTCACCTTTCATGTGGTGCTGCTGGTCTGTCCACTACACTTTGACTAGAGAGGCTAGGGCCCCATGTGGACTGGATCCCACTGAATGACTTTCTATAAGGGCTGAGGGGAAGCTTGAGTCTGAGCCTACACCTTTTTTTCTCTGGACCCCTGAGACTCCCTTACCCAGAACCTACCATTACAGAAATGCCTCACCAAGGTCCTGGTCAGGGATTCTCCCTTGATCCGTCTTCCTCTTGACAAGCTGGGCTTCACGGGAGGGTGTATGGATGTTTCACACATGCAGGGCTACTTGTTCTAGTGGGTAAAGCTTTCCACTTGCCTGTGGAAAGCTGGGCAGGAGATCTCCATTTATTCACTCCTGGACACAAATTCCAAAGGTGGGCCTTGCAGGGGCATCACTTGAGGGACCTAAAGGGGGAATTATTAACTCAAGCCTCTCTTCAGGCTTTTCTACAGAGTCCTTCGCTGCACTTGAGGAGTAATGCCACCAAGTAGGCCAGGGCTGATGAATAAAGAGTCAGAAAGGGCTCAGGAAGTGAGACCTGGTCCAACTAAGAAATGACTGTGGAACAGCAGAGTCAGGGGGGAGGGGATGGAAGTGGTCAAGGCTATCCCTGCCAGTAGGACACTGTGCGGTAGACTAGGATAGAGGATAGACCGGGTAAGACTTGAGAAACTAGGGAACTATAGCCAGCAGTCAGGAGGATTTCTGTGACATGTCCCATCCCCTTACTAAGATCAATGGAATTGACAAATCTGTAGCAAGACTGATGAAGAAAATTAACAATCTCAGGAATAAAACAGGGATAGCCTCACAGACCCATGGGCACTAAGGGTTAAGGAAGCACTGTACAGACATGAATTTGGCAACTTAGTCAAAACTGAAATAATCCCTTTAAAATTTCAGACTACCACAGATCATCCAAAATAATTTGAATTGCCCTGTAACCCTTAGGAAAAACCTGAAGTTAGAATTTGAAAAGTTCCCCGAAATAGGGACTAAGGTCCTGGCTCTGAGGGTAGAGAGCTTGCCATGTAAGTATAAAGACTGCAGTTTGAATTCCTAGGAATAGATGAAAGCTGGGAGATGTGGCTTCTACCTATAATTGCAGCATTTGGGAGGCAGAGGCAGGGATCTCCGAGAATCGGTGAGCTCTGGGTTCACTGAGAGAACGTGCCTCAGAAAGTAAAATGAAGAACCATTAAGGAGGATACCCAATAGCAATCTCTGGCCTCCAAGTGCACATGCACACCTCCAACACACTTGTGTATCCATATACAGGAAAACACACATACACACATGCACACCTCCAACACACATTGCATACATGAGAACATACATACATACATGCACCCACACCTCATACAAGTTCCCCAAAGAAAGTCTGCATCCAGATGATTTCAGTGAAACATGCTTGCAAACTCTTAAGAGCTAACACCAGTGCTTTGTAATATCTTTGAGAAAAATAGAGGCAACCAGTTCCTGGCTTGTCTCATGAAGTTAGCATAAGCCTGACACTAAAACTAAAGGCTAGCACAGCAAGCCTTGATCTTCCAAGAGTAGCCATAAAGACCGTTAAAATGGGATATTAGCAATAGTATTCAGCAAGCATCATCAAGTGCAGTTTGTTTCAGAGATACAAAGCTCAGTATCCACAAATCAGTGTCACCCACCACAGTGACAGAGTGAAACAGTAAAATCACACAATAGATTCCGAAAGGACACTGGGCAAAATTCTACCCTGTTCACAACATAATGATTCTTGGAAAAATAAGGGAAGAGTCACTCCCTCACTTCGATAAAGGATGTTCACAGGAAGGCTGCAGAGCATGTTACTTGGTGGTAAAGAAGGCACTGCTCTCTCTCCAAAACTCGAAATGAGGCAAGAATGCCCTCACCTACTACTCTCACTCAAAGGAGAGCTAAGATTTCTAGCCAGAGAGAGGGCAAAGAGGAAATGAAAGGCAAGAAAGATAGCATCTTCATCTGTAGGAACTCCTAAGAGTTTATAAGAACCTATCAGAGCAACAACCCCCGCTCCCCACCACCAAGAACTAATAAACAATTGTGTTTTTATGTACTACCAATGTGCACGTGGGTGCTAAAATTGGAAAAGTACAATACATTTTAAGTTTTCTTTCCAAAAGATAAATGTGTAGACTTAAATTTGTCACAGCATGCGTAAGAGTTAAGTGTTAAAGGGTATAAAATTTGGATTAAATAAATCAAATCTAATCCAAATGAGTGAAAAGACATATTGTGTTTGTGGATTAGAAGACCCAATAGAGTAAAACTGACAGTAAACACACACACACACACACACACACACACACACACACACCAGTTCTCCCCAAGTGGCTCATAGGCTTAAGGCAGTTCCTATAAATATCTCAGCAAGGTGTTCTGTAGCTATAGACAGGATTATTCTAAAATTTACATGGAAATGCTGAGGGACTTAAAATAGGTGCAGACAGTTTTGAGAAAGAAAATGTGGGCAGGAGCAGCCACCTGATGGCAAGACCGATAACTTCAGTGACGAACATCATGTGGCCTTGGTGGAGAGTCGCAGTGTAGCAGACTGAAGCTGAGAAACCAGAGATGGGCAGGCATAAATGCACAAAACCATACTTTTCCTGTTTCCCCTTTTATGAAGATGGAGAAGCAACCCAATGAAGCTAGCCTTCTAACAAATCATGGTAGAGTATATAAGTATCCATAGGTTAAAAAAATAACGTCAAACAGGAGCCTAATTCTCACACCTTCTATAAAATTTAATTTAATGTTTCTCTCGAGTGAGGAATCTAATTTCTTTTCTAAAGGAGTGATGGGGTGGGGCTAGGGAGCAGACAGGAAGGGAGGATACAGTAAATTGGTGTCTGTTTTCCCATCAGTGATTCTGTCCCTTGAAACAAACCCAATAGCTTAGGGTCATAGCTCACACAGTGCCCACCATGACAGAGCTCAGTCTTGGATCACAGGATTCAGGCTGTTCTGGAAATTACATAGTTATCCGCGGATGTTATCAATACCATCAGTGCCCTTATGCCTCCTGGTGCCAGGGAATTCTTGGGGGGTCTTGGAGAGCCTTGGGGACACCCTCAGACCATGAAGTTCTGAGCTGGGAAGCTGTCCCTCTTCAGTGGCGTTCGGCAAGCGTCTTCACTTCCCTGAGTGTGGGTTTCCATATCGGTAAAGTTTGAGTATCAAAAGGAAGCATAATGCCTAGACTATAAAGATGTTTGCCTATTTATATTACTGAATTACTTAACATTAATTGGAGTCATCTCACCTCCTAATGTAAAAGACAGACTTGTCTAAAATGACATGGGATGTTGTACATGGAGAAGTGAAAGGTCTCCAGACCACGAATCTCTGCAGTTGGAAAGTGGCGGAAGAAACTCGTCTGGAGTTTTCTCTTTTTCTGCCGCCCTGGGAAAGCTGTGTCAGAGCAGGCAAGTTAAAGGCCCCTGCACAGAAAGTGAACCAGGACTCCAAAGCTGTGGCTCAAAACTTGATACAATTCCTAGCCCCTGCTGATTCATTTGGAGTACAGCCCACCCTCCCTTTCTCTTATTTTTGAGATTGTAATTACATCATTTCCCCCTCCCCTTTCCTCCCTTGGAACCCTCATATCTGCACCTTTTTGCTGTTTTTTTTTTTTTCTCAAGCCTTATGTTCTTTTTCTTAGTGAATTTATTTATTTATTTATTTATTTTACATTTCTGCCTCAGTTTCCCCTCCCTCCTCTCCTCCCAGTCCCTCCCTCCACTCCTCTGTTCCTACCCCTGCCCCCAATCCACATCGCCTCCATTTCTGTTTAGGAAAGGGCAGGTCTCCCATGAGTATCAACAAAACATAAGCCTAGTGTCCTTACCTTGGAGTAATGGAGAGCCTTGGCTTTGACGACGCACGGGCATCCTCAATTGAATGTGTGTGATCTTTTCCTGCTTATTGGAGCAAGCATCCCCAGGGAATCTGCAAGCCCTGGTTTTGTGATTTCCAAGGCATAACATGCACTGATATTCTACATGGTGGAAAGGGAAAGCAAGTGAGATCATAATTTGTTAATTCTATGGAGAGCACAGACAGATACATCAAAGAGAAGATTATCTTTTTAAAGAGTGGAGATGAGGCAATACTTAGAATTGATATGGGGAAAACTGACTCATAAGTAGATTTAAAATTTTCAGATTTATTTTACTTTGTGGATATGAGTGTTTTGCCTCCATGTATGTCTGGGCACTGTGTGTGTGCCTGGTGCCCATGGAGGTCAGAAGAGGCTGTCAGATCCCCTGGAACTGGAGTTGCTGGTGGTTCTGAGCCATCATGTGGGTACTGGGACTAGAACCCAGGTCCTCTGCAAGAGCAACAAGTGCTCTTAACCGCTAAGTCATCTCTCTAGCCCCATAAACAGATTGATGTTTTTAAAAGGGTGTGTGTTAAACAAAAAATTAAAACAAGGGGCATAAAGTAGCTTCCTCTAAAAGTCACTAAAGATGACTTTTACCTATGCATTTACTTATGTGGAACTACATTAGTAATGATGCACATAGAATTTTAGATCTAAGAAAACTTGAATTTTAGGGGAAACTAGGGTTACACTTATTTTGTCAGTGAATGATATGTTTACATTAAGAGCTGAGCAATGGGGCATTTTTTGATCGATTTCAAGACAATAGCAGAAGAAACAGAGCAGAAGCCCTGCCTGCTCTACACTTTCAGGATTTCATAAATGTTTGCCAAGCAACAAGCATATGAGAAGCAATTTTCTGGAAAATGTGACCCTTTTCATATAATGCCCAGTGTCCTATAGACAACATTTTTTAATTGCTATCTGGGAGGGGGTGCTGGTGAGCCAGTTTCTCAGAATGACAGCCCTCGAGGCTCATGGGAATTCATCTGAATCCCCCAGGAAGAAAGTGGCAGGACTCAAATTTGGTGCCAATTCTCGCCACTACTTACTTATATGTATTAATAATTAAGGAAGTCATGATTTCATTAAGTCACACTCCCAGAACCATCAGGAAAGTCAGGAGACATTTATGTCCTCTTTCAAGCTGTGTTTAGGAAACAAAGTACTTGGGGAAGGACCTGGCAATTATCTCTTAAGTTAGACTCGGGTTCCTAGTAGTCTGCACACACACACACACACACACACACACACACACCCCTACACCTACCTTTCACATTTCTCTCATAAGTGCTACTACTGATTTTTGATAATATCTTTTAAGCAGGATGTAGGTATCTATTTACTAAATCAGGAAGCTTAAGATGTGGTTTCTTACGTGTTCAAAATAGGCTATAAATTCCACCCTGGAAATCCCCACAAAACTCAAACCTTGATGCTCTGAAGGGTGAGAAAACTGGACGCTACAATCATATAAATGATATTAATCCTGACTATTTAATTAAATGAGTATATAAACTGACTTGAAATATCTTTTGTTTATTTTAGCCACTTATGAAATTGAAATTGAAGAACTCCAAAAGGTATTGCTTCTCCTGTCCTTACTGATGTGTGATTAAGAGTAGCACACTCCCAACAGATGTAAGTCTAGAATACTTTCTAGCCAGATGAGAGTTCCTTATTTGAAGCAGGCTTTTTTTAGGTTCTAGTGGTAAGGGTTCTGAACCCCAGGCCTTTAATACAGAATTAGAAGGTGTGTATTGAGTTGGGCAGACATGGTCTGAATTGATTCCTGGACCCTTATCTCTTGTGGTCTGTGGCAAATGACCTTTAATAATCATCTCTTTCAGAGAGAAATGTCCTTGAGGACAACCAAATTTGTATATCTTATGCTTTCAAGAAAACAGACAGAGCCCAGAAGCATACTTCCTGGGCTCCTGCCAGTGTGGTGCTAAATGCCACCTTGGAAGTGATGTAGCAATTCAGTTGGGGCCCCAAGTAGAATTGCTACTGGCCTTAGTCATAGCTCCTGGCTATGACCTTGAATGTTGGTCAACAAGGACATTGTATGGGACACCTGTGCAATGGGAAGAATAGAATACCTACATCTGGAGCCCTTTTGAGGGGAGCATAGGCAAGCACTGATGGAATGGTGTGTTGAGGAGGACCTGGAACTTGGCATTCAGCTCTCTGAATCACCACTCCTCGGTAAATGGAGTGCTCCCCATGGGGACAGGAAGCTTGTTTTATCACTGTGTCTGCCACAGCAGATGTTCAGTAAATGGGGGGACCAGTACTTCTTCAAATCACAGAGAGCAGTGAAGTGTCTGAGCTCTTAGTATAATGTCTGACACGTATAGTGGGCGCTTCCCAAGCCTTTCTGTGGGGTCAGTTAATGGTCTAGTTCACCCTTAGTGGGCACATTTTGTTTTCAAGCTGGGCGAGGAGAGTCTGATGTCATCTTCTTTGATGACTTGGCTGCAGGGCTGTGTGAGCATAGTTCACACTCTTACGAGATGCTCCTGGATCCTTGCAGAAGGTCTGGTTGCCTCACATCAGACTATTTTCTGTGGTTATCCTCCTTTCTGGCAATTACCCTGTCTGCCTCCTGCTGGCATGTTGGTGTCTAGCAGCGAGCCCTTTATTTGATCAGGAATTATACAACAACATTCAGTCCCCAAGATTACCCTGGGTGTCAGTACCCCTGCCTCCAACTATAAACGATGACTCGAGGGCTCAGAGCTATTAAGTAGCCAGTAATTAACATTCAAAGTATTTAAGAAAGGTTCCATGCGACTTGTTTACTGGTACTGATTTGCTAGAATTCTTCGAAGAACCACTAGTCACTGAACTGAGGCCTGCAGGGCACTCCTCTAAGGGCTGTCTAGGCTGTGGAGACTGCTTTCAGATTCTTATTTTCTGTTTTCTTCAGGGTTCTTGGCTAGATTCCAAACAATTAATGACAGCAGATGTGGGACCAGTGATTAAGGAGAAGGGGAGTTTTGTTATGTTGTGACCACTGGGATGTAATCTTAACAAAAACTAAATCTCTGCCATTTAAGGGTAGAATTTTGATCAGAGAGCGTGTAGTTAGGGCGCCATCCAAGCAAGACTCACACACTGACCTTTGGCAACGGAAACTGCCGGGATGCCATGAGCTGTAAATCCAGAAGCTCTTCTCCTTCAGGGGCATGCCTGGAAAGGGAGGCAGAGAAAACTGTCCAAGTCATGTTATGTGCTGTAATTTATAAGCACTGCACATTCAGAAATGCTTTCTTTTCTGTGTGAGCTCCAGCCCTACACACAGGAGTTCATGGAACTCTCTGTGGCCATGGCCTGCTCTTGCCACATCCTGAGACTTCACCTCCCGCTTGATCACGTCACCCGATGATCTATAACCAACAGCAGAGCCTGCTTTGGGTAACCTCACAGAAATGACTGTTTTCCTCTTTGTTTTCAGCCTTGGAGGAGTTTTCTCCATCCAGAGCTGAGGTAAGTTTTATCTCTAAAATGAAAGCATAGTCTATCCACCTATGACTCATGATTGAATTCGTTTTCCTGCTACGGGTTGGCTATATTCCCAGTGCATGGACTGGTCCTGTTTCCCCAGGGCCTTGTAAGACACCCAGTGCAAAGCAGGGTCTCAGTGACCCTGTCTGACCGTCCTTGCTCTTGTCATTTTAGCCCATACTATGCTCATGCAGCCAACTCTAGTGGACAAAGCAAAGAGGGGCAACTGAAGATAGAGCTGTAGACAACTTGCGGTAATCTAAAATGGATGGGCATAATAGGGAGACATGGTACTCCAGGGTATCAGTGGAGGACTCGCAAGTATTGTGACTTAGACAGAAGAGAACTTGGATTTGTTAGCAATGTAAGATGCAAATGGCATGTTTGGAAACATTACTAGCTAATAAAAAGAGCAAGACGATCAAATAAGCTGGTGGGTTGGGGGAAACTATGAGAATCCACACCCAAACAGATGCGGAGGGAAGGAACAAAGAGAGATGGAATTGGGAAGGCAAACCACAGGAGGGCTTAGAGTGCACCCTACAGGTACTAGAGAACTAAAAGGGTTTAAGCAAAAAAATAATACTTCCACTGTTTGGAACAGGCAGAAGCTCATATAAGCTATCAGTTTGGTTGATCTGGTCCTGATTTCTCATCTTAAAGAAAGATTCACAATTCCCAGTCATTTCATTAGGATTGGGCCAATCTACCATCTACATGTAAGTCCTTACTTTTCCTTGGCATCTTCCTATTTCAGCCCTAGACCTAAGGACGAAGAAAACAATGTGAAGGAAAAAGAGCTATGGGAATTAGAACCTCAAAAGCGAGAGGATTCACATCCTGACCACCTTTCCGAGGTATCGGTGTCCTAGGACTCATGATGTAATTCAGACATGGTCTTTCTCAAATACAAATCTGATCAGTGTCAGCCACTGCCTCTCTTACAAAGCTAAGGAATAAACCCCAACCCTTTGTGGTGTATGTAAGAACATTCATAATTCAGCCCCCACCATGTGTCTTTTGAGCCTCATCTTCAGTCTTCCCTCTCCTATTTCTCTCCCCTTTTCCCTTAGCTTAGTTCTTGTCACAGCTTCCACACTACCCCTTAGTAATATTAGGTCATTAACACTTCTCCAAATAGCCCATATCTTTGCTCATTCTGATTAATCTGCCAGATATTCCTGTCCCCTTCTATCAGTCTCCTACCTATGTTAAAAGGTATGTTTAAAAGCTCTACCTTTTAAAAGATAGAGCTTGATGAGTTCTGCTTTAGGAAGATTTTCCACATTCAGCCTCCCAATGGAAAGGAGAAATCTCTCTCTCCATCCTCTGTTGCTATGGCTGTGAACACTTCCATAAATAATATCCTATTACACCCTAATTTCCTGTGTTCACCATGACCAATGTCTGGGATGCTCAGTCCATTGCCTGGCCTACTTCCAGAGCTTTTCACGTTGTCTTACATTCAATATAGGTCTCATAGATAATGAAACGCAGACTTGAGAAGGAGTACAGGGGAGTAGATAGAAGGCAAATGTCAGGTAAACTGGAGTGTTGCTGGAGGGCTTCTCTCCAGGTTCCACCAAGCCCCGCAGTCCCACAATCCACGTATAAAATAATCACTCAGATGCTTATATTACTTATAAACTGTATGGCCGTGGCAGGCTTCTTGCTAACTGTTCTTATATCTTAAATTAACCCATTTCTATAAATCTATACCTTGCCACGTGGCTGGTGGCTTACCGGCGTCTTTACATGCTGCTTGTCCTGGTGGTGGCTGCAGTGTCTCTCCCTCCTTCTTCCTGTTTCCCCAATTCTCCTCTCTCCTTGTCCTGCCTATACTTCCTGTCTAGTCACTGGTCATCAGTGTTTTATTTATATAGAGCAATATCCACAGCACTGGAGAAAAAGAGGGCTACCCAGAAGCCCCCTTGCAGGTGGTGAGAACAGGGATGTAGGGCTAAGCCCTCTCTCAGTAGATTACTAAAAATGAAACCCATCATCAGTTATTTGAGCTGCCTAGTTCTTTATCAAGAGGACTAGTGATATTTCTTCTCGCGGGATGCCATGATGGTTGAGATGGAAAAAAGAGCCTGACTTGGAGTCAGCACTCCCATAGGCCTGACTCTGCCAGGCATCCATTGGCTCTTCAGAAATAAGTGAAGGGCGTGGTGTGGACTCTGGGAGGATGTAGGCTCTAGTAAGACAGCACTCAACAACCTGTAATAATTAAGAGTTGCTCTCACAAAGAAACATTCTGAAGCCCAGAGTGCATGAGCAATGAACTGATTTGACAATCAGCCCCAGAACTGCTCTTCCTGTTGTCTGTGTTTAGGCAGGTGTCTATGAAGGGACACCAGAAGAAGTCCACAAGGACAGAAGGAGTGTTCCAGCTGGAAACCCGGAAGCCATGGCTGACATCACTCCGAACAGGCTCTTCCCCGAGGATGTGATGCTGACCAGGCCCTCCCAAGATAAGGGTAAGTTGTATTTCCCCTGAAATCTCTTCGCTACCGAATTGTTTTAAAGGGGAGCATGGCCAAGATCATAATTTATTTATAGATATATAGTAGACATTTATTATGTTCCTAGTAGCTTGACTGTAAGGGCTGTCTTCTCCCGAGTAATGGAAAGAACACTGCATTTAGAGGCAAATGCCTTAAGTTCAAGACTATACAAGTGTGAACTTAACAGTTGTGTGGTGAGTTTGTATTCCAGTAGTTCAATTTCTCCATCAAAAAGGGAATCTGAGCACAGGCCTCACAGGAGTTATGAGGACCAGATCCAACAGTATGTCATGTGACAGTCTTGTTCTTTTCTTGTCTGCCTACTGACGCTGCTCTCACCATTAGCAAACTGACATGCCATGCAGCATCATGAAGTGACTATTTCAGCTGCATTTTCTTCCTTCACATTAGTGAGAACCCTCTATTATAAATGAAAATTAAATCATACTTGGTTAAACCACACGCTTGAAGTAGGATCACGTGGCAGAAACTCAAGGCATGCCTGGATCCAGGGACACAGATAATATCACAAGGACAAAGTATCCCGAGTTCTCCTCTAATGTAACTGTGTTTTTCAGGCAGAGTCAAGTCCTATAAAGTCTAGCTGGCAGCAAGCATTGATAGAGTTACAAACTATTCTCTGATAAGCCCCAAAGGACAACTTGTAATTTTTATCTTTCCAAAGATAAAAGACATGAGTCTTGCATTGTCTCTGATTGAGTCACATGCCATCGCCGATTAAAAACCTATGATGATCTGGTTGGACCAGGCTGTGTCACATTCCCATTGAGCTAGGAGTGGGTACAGTCATTTCTACCAAACAACACATCCTCTGTCTTAGTTACTTTTCTATTGTTGTGAAGAGACACCATGACCAAGGCAACATATAGAAGAAAGAGTTATAGAGGGTTTACAGTTCCAAAGGGTTAGAATTCATGGCCATCATGGCGGGAAACACGGCAGCAGTCAGGCAGGCATGGTACTGGAGCAGCTGAGAGCTCATGTCTTATCTGTAAGCACAAGGCATGTGAGGGTGAGCTAATGGGGAATGGTATGAGCTTTGAAAACTTCAAAACCCACCCCAGTGGCATACTTCCTCCAACGAAGCTACACATCCTAATCCTTCCCAAATAGCTCTACCAACTGGGGACCACATATTCAAATATATGAGCTTATGTGGGCCATTCTCACCCAAGCCAAGACCCACCCCATGGAAGGAAAACAAGTCAGCTGCTATGAAGAGAATCAGAGTAGATGCTGCAAAGATGCAGGAAAGGAATGCCCATTGCGCCAGGTGGTGCTGGTGCACGCCGTTAATCCCAGCACTCATGACGCAGAGGTGGACTGACCTTTGAGTTCAAGGTCAGCCTGGTCTACACAGTGAGTTCAGGACAACCAGGGCTGCACAGAAAAATCCTGTCTTGAAAACCCAAAAAGGACGGTCCATTGCAGCATACTAGTCTACTGAAAGTCACGGATGTGATGTATTACAGCCAGAATAGGATGAATTCAGTGATCAAAAGGTGGAATCAGCATCCTTTAAAATCTACTCCAGCCTCATGGGCTTCCCCTGTGCCACTCACTTGTCCTTCCTGCCCCGCCCTGATACTCTCTGCTACGGTCAAATGGTTTCAGAGCATGTCATGGGCTTAAATGGTCTTAAATTTTTACTTCATCTCTTTTCTCTACCTGGGATGCTCCTGTGCCCCCTCTCTTAGCTTATTGTGTCCCATTGACTCTCCAAATTCATCCTTAATGTCACTTCTGATGTTGTCATATCTTCAGCTCATTTCTACTTTCCAAAATACTAATTATTTTATCCTGAAAAGACTCAGGTAAGCTAGGATGTATTTCTTAAATGATACAAATAAAAAAGTTAGCAGGCAAATCACAGACAAGGTGAAGATGTTTTCCATATACATATTGTATTAGTTCCTTCATTGTTGTTGTGATAAAATACCATGACCAAGGCAACTTAAAGAAGAAGTTTATTGGGCTTATAGTCCCTCATCGCTAGGAGGCATGGCAGCAAGTGGCAGGATGAGGAAGCTGAGAACTCAGTCTTCAGTGGCAAGCAGAGAGAGAGCAAATTGTATGTAGGGCAAAGCTGTTTCATCTCAAAGCCCACCCCCAGTAACAGACTTCCTCCAGCAAGGCTACACCACCCAAACTTTCCCCAAACAGTGCTATTAACTGGGAACCTAGTGTTCAACTACATGAGCCTACAGGGGCCATTTCTCATCTAAGCTGCCGTACATGATTACCGATTTGACCAAGAACTCATATAGGGAATATATACATCTTTTATGTAAGCATCTTTGTAGTTACAAAATACAAAACAGAAATTAATCAATAAAAGGAATGATAGATATTGAAATTGGAAAGATACTTGAACTGGCATTTCATCATAGAGGAAGAGAAGGTATCCAAAGGTAAATATGCCATGAGAGCCCAAGTTCATTGACTCTCCCTGAACTGCAAGTGAAGGCTACCTGCCATCAAAATGCCTGCAATGAAAAAGACTAGAAATATTCAGTGTTGGTGAAGATATGGACCAGGTAGAATATTTATATTCTGAGGAGATTGTAAACTAGGACCATCACCTTGGAAAACTGTGAATATTAAAATCAAACACATGCACATTCAATGGCCTAGACACACCAGGCTGCATATATCCCTGGCAGAAACATGTATTTAATTAACAAAAATATACAAATTGATTGTGCCAGAACATTTTTATAACAGTCTCAACTAGAAACTGTTCAAATGAAGAGGAGAATGGAGGTCTGGGCATGACAGAAGCCTGAAAGCCCAGCACTTGGGAGACGGAGGTAGAATGATAGAGCGTTTAAGGCAGCCTTGACTACCTAGTGAGGACTGTGTCTTCTGGGGGGAAACACTGCCACAACAAAAACACAGAGTGGATAAATACGTCATATCCTGTCCACACACTAGAAGAGAAAATTCAGTCATAGTAAAGGAGAAGCTGCAACTAACTATCTGCAACAACCTGAAAGAATCTCTCAACATAAGCTGAATGCAAATGTGCAGCACCAAGGAGTGCAAACTGCATTGCTGCATTAGTGCAAAGGTCAAAGGTGGATAGAATGCATCAACATCGGGAGTCAGAACAGCTGTTACCTGTGGTGAGGAAGAATGTGGAGCTGAGAGCCCCAACACCGGAGCCGCTTGCTTTGATCTGTGTGTGTGAAGATGTGCAGCTGGAGCCAGTCCTTGGTCTGTAGTTTTGTGATGCATTCCCCTGTGTAGTCGGTTGTCGTTAAATCTTAAAACAGGACTAGGGATGCAGTTCAGTTGTGAGTGCTTGCCTAGCATGGACAAAACTCCAGGTTTTCGATTCACAGCACTGCAGAAGAAGAAAAATACAAAAGCAAACAAAAAATCATGAAAGTAAAAAATATAAAAAGGTTTTAAAAAGAGTAGGTAACTATTAAACACAAACAACACTGTATCTTCTAAAATGAGAAAATTTTAAATTTTGAAGAGCAGAAACCTTAGTTATCGGAAAAGAGATTTAAAAAGCAGAGAAAAGTTAAAAAATATGGTATAAGAAAATAGATACAAACATTTCAATAGCAGTAAATTCTGTACATGTTAAACTTACTAGCTAGAAGATGCGTTCAAATTTTTCAAAATTCAAAGTATTTTAGTGTTCTTTGCATGCCCCATATGCCTCAAGGTATAGGGATTTAGTGATGAAAGAAACAGCCAAAGAATTCTCCTCCTCTCATGCACATAGGACTGAAGACCCTATCTCCCATTCTGCACACACACACACACACACACACACACACACACACACACACACATCAACTCAAAATGGATCAAGGGCCTTAGTGTAACAACTGAAACCTGACATCATGAGAAGGACACACCGGGAAAACCTTAGAAATGTAGGTATAGGCACCAATTTACACACAAGAGTGGTGAGAACTGACAAATGAGATGTACGAATACAAATGCTTCTGCCACAAAGGAAGCAGCAGAGTACACAGTCAGCCTACAGAATGAGGAGAGATCTTTGCCAGCTATATCGAGAATGTATAGAGTTCAACACTGAAAATCAAATAAGCCATTCAATAACTGGGCACATGAATACAACAGACACTTCTCAAAAGAAGTACAAATAAATTACATGGAAAAGCACTCAACTTCCTCAGTGGTCCAAGAATGTAAATCAAAACTATCCTGAGATTCCACCTTCCCCAATCAGAATGGCTATGACAACAACAGAAAACAAACTCTAGAGAGAATGTTGAGGGGCCCCTTAAACACTGCTGGTGGGAATGTGAATTTTAGGACAACTGCTATGGAAATCGATATGACAGTCTTTGAAAAAAAAACTAAACATGGAACAGCCACATGACACAGCTATTACCAGGGATGGGTGTGAAGATAGAGAACTAAGTCGGCCCACTCGAGGTTATCAGAGCACTGCTCAAAACAGCCAACTTACAGAGTCACCTTCAACAGAGGACCCGCTAAAGAAAATCATACACACACACACACACACACACACACACACACACACACTTTATATTATTAAGAAGAATGAGGAGGATGGGGAGATGATTCCGTTAGTAAATATCTGCCTTGGTATGTGTACATGAGAACTCGAATTTGATTATCATAACCTGTGTTTAAACAAATCAACAGCAACAACAAAAACAGGCATGATGCTATGCTTTGTAATTCCACCCCTTGAGAGACAGAAATAGGCAAGATTCGTGGGACTCGCTGGCCAGCCCAGCGAGTTCCAGGCCAGTGAGAAGGTCTGTCTCGAAAAACAAAGGAGACAGAGCCTGAGGAACAACACCCAAGTTGGACTGCTGGCTTCCATAGACACATACACACTAATACCTGGAAGAATGAAATTATCATTCGCAGGGAAGTGGATGAAATTGGAGAGGAACTGAAAACAAAAGGAATTAATCATGTTTTCTGCCTCATGTGGAAAGACACTAACAAGGAAGAGAAAAGGGTCCATGTGGAGGGAGGTGGTAGGTAAGACAAGATAATAGATGTGGTGAATAAGATCAAAATGCATACACTGAATAGAAAAGAATTCCACAATGAACTGCATTCTTTTGTACAATTAATATATAGTAATAAATGATCCCAGACCCTATAGGGATTACTTCCTCATCAAATGAAGACAGACAAAAATAATAAAACATTCTTATATGAAATGGAGGTAAATGATATAAAAAAGGAAAGAACATTAAGGAGGCCATGGACGTTGGAACTTGAATGTGTCTGTGGATGACCTCAAGGGCCTCAATAGATCCAGAAAGCATAGTTATTCCTGCTTGTCAACTGCATTTAGAGTCATACAGGAGACAATGCCTCTTGGCGTGTCTGTGAGGAAACTTCCTGAGAGATTTAGCTGGGAAAGCTAGGCCCATGCTGCCTGTGGGTCTCACCATCCCCCATTCTAGAGTTCTGGACTGAATAAAGAACAGGAAAGAAGAAAAGGCAAGCTAAGGAACAACATTCAGCTCTCTCCCCTACCTGACTGTGGATGCAGCATGACCAGCCACCCCAGGCCCCTACTGTCTTGACCACCCCGCCATGATGGAGTGAGAGCCAAATTCAACCCCCCTTCCATAAATTGCTTTTCTCAGAGGTTATGTCATAGCAATAAAAATAGTATAGGCATATTGTATCTGATATAAGAATATTCTAGGGAGAAAGGAAAAAGGAGGAAATACTCCAGGCCAGAGTTGGTCATAGGTGTTGGTCCCTGTGACTGGACCAGAGAGGCTGCAGAGAGAGAGCAGTGAGGGAAGAAGGCCAGCATAGGCTTTTCGAAATCCCTTCAAGAGCTTTGGCCTTTGCTCTCAGTGAGACTTTTTTTCAAACCATCAAGAACTTCCAGCACACAAAAAAGTCATAATCAGAGTTGTGTTTTAAAGAACAACCTGGCTGAGAATAGATAGGTTATAAGCTAAGTTGGGGAAATTTGTTGTTATTGTAGTGATTTGGGTGAGAGGTTGGTGGAGGGCTCTGTGATAGGACTGTGGAGGTGTGCCTGGATTTACCATAAAACCTTGTTAGAGATAACAGGTGAATGCTGACAGGATGTGAGATATGGAAGAAAAGAAGGATGTCTCCAACACTTGGGGCCTGAGATACCCAAGCAATGGGAAAGGTATTATCGACTTTTTTAAAGGACAGTAGATTTAAAGACTAGAAATTTTTAAAAAGGAAATCATGAGATTGGTATGAAATCCAATATGCCAAATGGAAACGGCATGAAGGATTATGGTGGATATGGAATTGTCTGTTGAAGATATACATTTTGTGAATTATGTTTCTAAGATGATTCCATAATGCTTTTTATGAACCAATAAGAAAGATTAAGAAGCGGGGGACTGGAGAGATGGCTCAGTGGTTAAGAGCAGTTGGTCGTACAGAGGATCTGGGTTTGGTTCCCAGCACCCAACATGGTAGTTCACAGTCATCCATAACTCCAGTTCCAGCAGATCCAACATCCTCTTCTGGTCTCCGCAGGCACTAGGTGCACATGTGATATACACACATACATGCAGGCAAAACACTCAAAACCTATAAGGTATAATAAAAACACTTTTAAAAAGAAAGAAAAAGTGCCCAACTATGTGTTTAGCATCTTATTTTTGCTAAAACTGTCCTGCTAACTTCTCTAGAAAAAAGTGAGCCACCTTCCTCTGGGAACTGACCCTCTTTTGAAGTAGTTTGAGGGTCACATACTTCTTGCAATAGGATAAAATCTTCTCATTTGACTCATTTAATTAATAGATACCAGTCACTTTCCTTGTTGCATATTTTTAGATACACTTCTTATGATAAGTAGTTCGTGTCTGAAATGAAAATAGCCCTGCAGCACCCACAGACTGAATATGAAGCTGCACCAACTGACGAAGGGGTGACAGTTTTATGGTTATGACAAGTTTTCAGCTGAGAACTATTTATCGGGTTGCCTACCCATGCAAACAACCCTTATGGACTTTTCACATTGGCACGTTATCTTCTACTTAATTTTATGATTAATAATACATACATGTTGACGGCTGTTCAGTTAACTTAAGAAACTTTAAGAAAGATAAAAACTACCAAAAGGCTGGGCGGTGGTGGTACATGCCTTTAATCCCAGCATTCAGGAGGCAGAGGCAGGTAGATCTCGATGAGTTCAAGGCCAGCCTGGTCTACAAAGTGAGTTCCAGGAAAGGTGCAAAGATACACAGAAAAACCCTGTCTTGAAAAACCAAAAAGAAAAAGAAAAAAGAAAAACTACCAAAAGACTACACAGGCCATTTTGATGGTGGAGAAAATCTCTGAGCCTGAAGGACTTCAGGACAGAGGGTCGGAAGCAATGGGAAGAGCCATTAAGTTGGGGAAAAGCTTTGGTTCGCTGGGCAATTAGCACTCTTTATGAATATGTGCTTGATCCTTCCACAGTCACATAGAAGGGGCTCTTAGTTGCTGTTATTGGTTGTTTTTAGTCTTTTGGGTGGCCCACCACCCAGCTCCCAAATAAAGGAGGCTTATTCTTACTTATAAATGCCTTAGCTTGGCTTATTTCTAGCCAGCTATTCTTAACTTAAACTATCCCATCTATCATTTCCCTCTTGGCTTTTACCTTTCTCTATTTCTTTATACCTTTCTTTCCTTCTTATTCCGTGTCTGGCTGTGTAGCTGTGTGGCTGGCCCCTTCTTTTCTCATTCCTTCATCTCTCTTGCTCCTGTTCTTTCTTGCTTCTTCTATTTCTTCTCTCTGTCTGCCAGCCCTGCCTATCTTTTCTCCTGCCCTGCTATTGGCCATTCAGCTCTTTATTAGACCAATTGAGTGTTTTAGACAGGCAAGTAACACAGTTTCACAGAGTTAAACAAATGCAACATAAAAGAACATAACACATCTTTGCATCATAAAACAAATGTTCCATAGCATAAACAAATGTAACACATCTTAAAATAATATTCCACAACGTTACCCCAACTTCAGGGATTTGTAACAGACTCTGCAAGGCGAAGGTGGCTTATCCCAGACCATGCAGACCATGCTGTTGGTTTCATTGGCACAGCGACTAAAAGGACCAAACAGAAAAGTTTGATTTGGTCTCAGAGTTTTGCTCCATAGTCCTCTGCTACTTCTAGGGCTGTTTTAGGGCAGAGCATCAGAGTGGTGAAAGCATGTGGGGAAGATGTAGGTCATGGTGGACAGGAAGCCGAGAGCAAAGATGGGATAGGGATAGCCTTTAAAGGGTTACTCTCTGCTGACGTGCTTCCTCTAAGCAGGCTCTACCTCCTGAAGTTTCCAGAACCTTACAAAACAGTGTCTCCATGGAAAACAGAACATCAGACACATGAGCCTTGGGGGACATCTCCTGCTCTAATGAGTGCATGCCCAGACGGCATTCCACTTTCTTCACCCGTAGTCTGCCTTTTCCTGCGGGTGCAGTATCGCCAGGGATGCGTAACAGAGGTGTCCCTAAGAGCTGATGATGGTGTCTCAGGGCTTTTCCTATTTCCCTTACAGGTGGGTATGTGGAGGCTTTGGAGGTGACCAAAGAAACCCCAAGTCCAAGTACCATTAGGTCAAACTCCTCTTCAGAGGATACTTATGACGATGTGGGGTGCTCCAGAGAAGATCTGTAAGTGTCCTCTCACCTTCCAGAAGGAGGGACGTGGCAAGACTGTGAAGGTGTGCTGGGTTAATGGTCTGTATATCTTTCTCCACAGACCCAAGTGGGACTTCTCCAGCTCATTCACCTCAGACAGCGGTAAGTGCTGGTTAGAATCATGCAATCACGGAGTGCTGCTGAGGCTGAGCCGTGATCGTGGACTTTTCTTTGGACACATTTTCAGTGATAAGAACTGGATGTGGAGACGAAGAGCAGTGGTGCAGAGGCATGTGTTTAGAGGAGGGAAGGACGTTCTTATGGCAGAAAGCCTCTCCACATGAAACTGCTCTTTTTGCCCTGCCTTAACAGAGCAAGTCTGATAAGTGGTATGTGTTTTTATTTAAAACACCATCAGGGCTTCCTAGTGCTGATTAATTTTTGATTATGTGGATGTGAGTATGAGTGCGGGCGGGTGTGCATGTATGTACAGGTGCCTGTGGAAGCCAATTGTGTAAGGTTCCATGGAGCTGGAGTTTCAGCCATTTTTTGAATCTACCTGATGGTGTGGGAACTGAACTTGGGTCCTTTGCAATCGGAGTATGTGGCCCCAACTTCCTAGTACTTTTAATATCAATGTCAACAGGGCCTAAAGCAGTGGTTCTCAGCCTTCATAATGCTGCGACCCTTTAATACAGTTCCTCATGTTGTGGTGACCCCCCCCCACCATAAAATTGTTTCCATTGCTACTTCATAATGGTAATTTTGCTACTGTTATGAATCATAATGTAAATATCTCATATGCAGGATATTTAATATGTGACCCTGGTGAAAGGGTTGTTAGATCTCCAAAGGGTCATGACCCACAGGTTGAGAATCTCTGGCCTAAAGGCTTTGGCTGGCCTGCCCCTCTTTCCAACATCTGTGTAGCTTCATCTCACACTATATTCAGTTTTTCCCTTTAAGAGGCTTTCCTGTCAACTCGGCCTCTGCAATGCCAACCAGAAGATGTTTGCAGGTGCCCATCCCCATTTAAAGTAATATTTGGTGGCTAAGCCTTCAAAGATATGAGCCTCTGGGGCTATTCTCAAACCTCTACAGAGGATATTTATTTTTCAGGTAGTCTTTTCCAATAACATAAAATAGCAGATTTTCATATCTTTTTTTTTTTTTTTTAGAGATCCATAGTTATGTTTACCCCTCCCTCCGTTCCCCTTCTCTCCTATCTTCTTTCCCATTTCCTGCTTAGACCTACATAGTGAGGTTCAGGATAGCCTGTGCTAAAGAGTGAGGCAGTCTCTCTCTTTGTAATATATATTACACACACACACACACACACACACACACAAAATGAGCTAATCAAATACTATTCTGGGCTGGCTCCTTAGAGTCCAGATTTGACACGTATCCAATATTCATTCACTCTTTAATAAGAGAACAGAGGTACAGAGAGCAGTTAAAGAACTCTGCATGCTCACTGTATTCCAGCAAAGTTTGAAACTTTAACATTTATACATTGACTCCAATACTCTTTCCTGTAGACTCTGTTTCCAGACTACCATCTGTGTCCATCTGTGTATATTAAGCTTATGTGTTAGGCTGGTGCAAAGGGAGACGTTCTTTAGTATACATGGGTTTTCCTTTGTTTCCCCAGTGTTTAGCATGCTGTCTCATGCATGGATGACCACAGCTGTTCTGCACTAACTGTGGGAAGGATGGAGGGTGAAGGGCATATATCTGTTGAGAAACAAGCTGCCTTTGGCTGAAGCAGATCCCACATGGAATCAGACGCAGAAGACATGTCTAATTCCCATTTATACAACTTTATAGATGTTTATAAATTTTTATCATGTGTTTATGAAAACATGCATATACTTCAACAAAACTCAGTTAGCTAAAAAAAAAAAGTTGAAAGTACTTGGCAGCTCATAGGTATCTATTCATGTTTTTTTTTTGTATGTGTGTGTATGCTTCTTAATTTCAGAGGAAAATAGTGAAGACATGTATGAAGATATATACAAAGCAAAGAATCATGACCAAAAAACAAAGTGAGTTTCTTTCTTGGATTTGGATTGTATGCTGATGGTGTTTCTTGTTTACCTAGTAAGCCATGGTTGAAAACATGGCACCATCCCCTGCCACCATTGTTGGGGAAGATTGCTCAGAGTGATGATAAGTTACTGAAATAACTGCATTGTCATTGGCAGCATATTCCCTAGCATGTACAATCATACATCATAAGATTGAAGATTCGTTGCTTTCTCCTTGGAGACAAATGTTCATTTTCTAGAGTAGAGAACTTTTATATTATGTGTTAAGAAGTAGTTGAGACAAGGGAAGTAAATAACAATAGAATTTTTCTTGGCTTTATATTTGCTTTTCTAGGATCAAAGCAATAAATATAACTTAGCTTTTGTCTTTGTGAGTTAGTCAGGCAGACTCCGGGATTTGGGATTTCCTCACAGGTATTGCAGATGATGTTTGCTCAAATGATCAACACTGGTCAAGTTTAATTAGGAAGAGCAAGGAAAAGAAAAGAGCATAGTCAACAGTGAGGAGTCTGGGGATGAGGGGCACTGTGATACTGGGCTGGTTATATAGGTGAACTCTCTTTTGACTACATCCTCCTAAGCCAAGAGGATATTAGCATTTCATCATCAGCTGGCCCATCAATATGTCACCACTGCTGTACACTCAGTTACTGAAGAGTATGTTAAAAATCAGTGATGGCAGTTCCAGGAACCAGTAATTCCTCTGATGTGTCTCTAGCATCATTTAGGAGTGAGTTTCTGCCCCAAATTATTTTCTCCTCATGAAGGAAGACTTTGCTTCATAATCTCTACAAAAATGAACACTATTTGTCGTAGATGACTGTTTGTACACACTATACTTCCTCTTTCCATGGCTGCCTCAGATATGCTTTGTATCAGGGTCCCAGAAAACTTCACTCCTAATTGCTGAGGCCTTTCCTTGCACTTCCTCAAGGGAGTCTCTTTCGGACTTGAGGCTGAAGTCTCTGGTCCTGGATAAGCCAATAGTGTTCTATCCCAATTCCAGGACCGTCTCAAACGCCGTGTTGTCTTATCTCCTCATTCCTCTTAGTGTAGATGGAAGAGCAGCCCTGAGAAGACTGCAGCAGCTCTTCAGGAATGAGAAGGGCATATTCAGAATGAAGAAAGCCAAGTCAAATGTCAGGTAAACGGTCCCCGGTAGCTTTTCTTCCTGGAGTTTATCAGCAACACTGTCTTTCACACACATGCTTGCTGTTTTCCATCCAATTCTCAGCACCGGTGACAGCATATAGTGTCAGAACTACAACTATAAAGCCCCAGTACATGACACCCTAAAAAACAAGTGAGAAAAAAATTACCAGTATAGGCAAGCAAGATCCAGAATGGAAAATTTGTAGTCTTCCTTGGCTTCTCATGTCATTATCACTAAATATTATGTTAGTAGTTATATCCTTTCATGTTCTCTTGGACCCACACTCTCCAGTGGTCTTCATGTTCTCTTGTCCACACACACTCCAGTGGTCTTCATGTTTTCTTGTCCACACTTTCCAGTAATCTTCATGTTCTTTTGGACCCACACTCTCCAGTGGTCTTTATGTTCTCTTGTCCATACATACTCTAGTGGTCTTCATGTTCTCTTGTCCACACTCTCCCGTGGTCTTCATGTTCTCTTGGCTGCACACTCTCCAGTGGTCTTCATGTTCTCTTGTCCACACATACTCCAGTGGTCTTCATGTTCTCTTGGCTGCACACTCTCCAGTGGTCTTCCTTGTATATACATCCATGTTTACTTTGTCGTCTTTGAAAGCAGTGATGTGTGTCTCATGTGGTCATGGGTAATCTGCTCTGCTGACCTGCCTGTGAATCTCAAGGTCTTGGACTTAGAAAGGCCCTGTCCCCATGTCCTCCACTGTTAGTTTTGGGGGATGGTTCCAAATTCACTAACAGTGAAAGAGCCAGGAGTTTCTTCCATTTTTTTGTACAGGACCATGGTTCCCTCATGGATGCAGTGGGAGGGGGACTATATGGTCTTTGTGGACAGTCTCTCTGCACAATATCAATACAGATAAGACAGGTCTAGATCTGTCCTTTGTGGAGGCACTGGAAAATAATTTGCTAGGATCTTCACCTGCATTAGATAGAATGAAGCTACTCTCCTCGAAAGCTCTTCCCAATTACATTGCCTTGAAATTTTGTGATTTTAATTCCAGTTGTCCGCTGGGGCTAGATCTCCCAGGAGAGCCAATGGACAGGAGGTGGGTACTGGATCACAGTCTGGATCACAGCGGAAGAGATTTTGTTACTTGATTTTCTGTCTCCCTTCAGGACAGAAACTGTATCCAATCATCTCGCTCACCTAGCATCAGGGCCTGGCTCATGGCTACTACAAAAATACCTGTAGTACTGAGTTTAAATTAAAGGCATCAAATAAATAGGCTTTTTTTCCTTTCTTTTCTATTTTTTTTCCTTTCCCTTTTCCTATCACACACCTCTTTCCATGTGACCTCTTTAGCAATGAGAGAAGAGAACCAAACCTAGCTAGATATCCTCTCCCACTTAGCAATTTGCCATCTTACATTTCCACCAGACCAGCGTTTCTCTGGAGAAGTCTTCCTTTGGCTTAAAAAGCACAGACAGGCTGCAATGTCTGCAGAGAGTTCCGATGAATTCATCTGTGCACTGTTCTTTCTCATCAATCCTCATGCTTACTGAGTAGATCTGACTGTATCTTAGAAGGCTGTGAGGCAGCCTGAGTGGTCTAGTTAGGAAGTGAGTTACCAGCAGTCCACAGGGATGAACGAGCTCATGTGGAGTAGGGTAGAGCCAGTCAGAATAGAGCTGCAAGAGTCTCACTTCAGTGCTATCTGGATCAGGACGCCTTTTGGATATATCTATTAATGAGCATGACTTTGTTCTTTGACATTTATTTATTTATTTGTTTGTTTATTTATTTATTTATTTATTTATTTATTATTTATTTATCTTTTCTTCATTAGCAATGGATTTTCCATGTCACTGCCTGACTTAGGTAAGTAATGTTTACTTGATATTGTCCACTGATATTTTGTTTTCAGGATTGGTGTGTTAAAGGGCAGGGGAAGAACATTGGTAATCTTTCCCGCTTTCCCAGTGAAAACTGGACCCATCAGAATGAAGAAAGATAACTTAAACAATGGTACTTCCTGCTTTGGAGAGATGAGAAATATTTTTCTGGCACTGCCCTAAATAGATGTCACTGTCTTTATAGGAGGCTTTAGAACCCACATCTGTACTTTGGATTGGGATTTGTACCCAAGACTCTGTGACTATGAAGCTTAGGCATTCTGCATTGATACACATACCTCTGATGGATTTGATAGCCAGATTAAGACATGATAAATTGAATATGAACATGCTGCAGTCCACACACTAACTGAATAAGAATGGGTTACTGGGACACTTTTAATTTGATAATAAAACAGCACTGTGTAAGTTATCATAATGGCTGACATATAAGATGCATATCCTATACATGCCATACATATCTCAATACATGTCCAGTCTATGGAATTTGTTGATAAATGAGGACTGTGTGATTTTTGTTCATTGGTTTTTGTTCATGGGCACAAAATATACTTTCATTTATAACTATGGCTCAGTGATTCAAATATATATTTCAGAAATATAAACTGCCACACTGAATAACCAAGGTTATTATAGATCTGATGAATGCAGCTCTACCAAATATTGTCATAAAAAAAATTTAAAGGCAACTTAGAATAGGAATTCATCTTGCAGATAGATTACTCCTAATCCTCAAATCCACAAACCAAATTGCTCCAAAATCTGAAACTTTTTATTACTACCATAGTTGAAAAATTCTGTACCTGAATTCATGTGACAGGCATGGAACATAGAAGGCACAGTAAACAACTGTATGATATTACCATTAGGATATGTGTATTAAGTGTATATGAAACAATTACTAATTTGAGTTTATATTTGACTCCTATGTCCAAGATACCATCTCTATATATCTTCTAGATGTGTATATGCAAATACTCTAAAATCCAAAAAGATTTGGCATCTGAAATTTTCTGTTCCAAAGCATTCAAAACAAGTGATGTTAAAACCATACCCCATACACAAAGCTTAGAGGTATTGAGGAAAATTAGTAAAGCTAAGAGTAATTATGAATAATTGAACATGAATTGTGAACATATCAAAATGTCCCAAATTTGTTCAAATGGCGAATCATCTGAAAAATCATGGAATTCTATATCACATGGTAGTATGAACATTACAAGCTGGACATGTCTAATTATTATTATGTACTAACTCAGATTCAATGTAATACAATAGTATTACAAAGGAACAATTACTTCAAACCAATACAACTTTGTATATGTTGGGAGGAGAGGGGTCAGCAAAGACATTACCATTTTCCCCCCACTGGATATTCTGAAAAGCCCTCTCAATATGCTCGTAATATAAATTGTTTTTTAGTTCCAGAAAATGGGGACAACTTACGCCTTAACAAAATCAAATGGATGTAAATGCACATGTAGGTCAGATATTCAGGGAGCTCACTACTTTTTATTCCCTCAATTGAATTTCTTCCCCAAAGAGACTCATTTTGTCCCAGTCTGTCTATGTAATCAGAAAAAAAAAGGCTTGATGATGCATCTGTATACTTAGGTCATTGTGTATAATATGGAAAGCTGGGTGTATATAAAGAATACCCAATAATTTTTTTGGTCTTGTCTCTGCCCTAGGACTCGGGTCTGAGGACATTACCATCTATGATGATGTGGACACAAGTGAGAAAGAATCAAAGTAAGTCACTTTATTTCACTGGTCATCTCTGGTCATCTGCTGGCGCTGGCCACTGCCTAATGCTTTGATAAATACAGTAACTGATAATAAGTTTTGAAGCTCTGGTTATTGGGTATCCTCTGCTGCCAATGTAATAAGCCAATTAAGCCAAATTTGATAAACAGAGCAAAGCAATTCCCAGGTGACTCTCAGGAAGTCAGGGGCAGTATGGAGACCAAGTCTTAAGTAGTCTGTAGGCATGGTCTTGAGTAGCCCCAGGGAGGCTCTCTTAGGGATGGGACCTGGGGAGAGAGAGATGTGGGGCTTCCACCTAATCAGGAGAGCCAGATCCTGAGAGACCAGACAAACATTTCCAAAGAGAAAACAATGAATACACCTGTAGACATCCCAACAAGTGTACCAAGTCAAAGGCATTGGAGCTCCGGGGTGCTTTTGTTTCTTATCTTTGAGTCTAGAGACTTGCAATTGTCAACACATTTAAACAGTAATCTTTTGTGTGCACTGCAAAGCGTGGGATAGCCAGGGCTGTTTGGTAGAAGTTTTCAAGGTCTAAATAACTGTCATCTGTAGAAAGGAAGCTATTCTTACCTCAGTGGTCCTCGTAGCTTCCTCCTTTTCATCTCCACCAGCTGCACAGCTGGTGATGGAGGACTTTCATTTTCACCTCCCTGTCCCTACTCACTCTACTTGGACTTGTGCTGGGGTCTTGGTAAAGCCACTAACAATCCTTTGTTAAACCCAGGAGACATTCTTAAGGTCAGATCATACTTGGATTTTTTTTTACAGTGTTTTACAATTTTGGTCATGCCATTCTTAAAGGGGGAAAGTGTCCTGTTCTCCCCCACCCCACCCCCATTCCTCCTCTTGGTTTCCCTTAAGCTTTTTGTGTGAGTCCTGGCTGCCCATCCATGCTTTAAGTGTTGTATGTTCTTAGGATGTTCTATGTCAGCTCTATTCTCCTTCATACACTCCTTGTTTCTTCTTTTTGCAGGACTGAGGATTGATGCAAGGCATCATGTATTCTAAGCAAGCACTCTACGCAGCCCTCATCCTTCATTTTGTGTTATTTCATTTTCAGAGTTTTGCTAAGTTGTCCAAGCTGGCCTTGAACTTGGGATCTTCATGCCTTACATTCCCAAGTAGCTTGAGTTACAGGTGTGATTCCCCTAGTTTTCACTCCTGTATATTTTTTACTGTTCTCTCACCTACACTCAAGATTTCATTATAACCAAAACATCAAAATTTATATTTTAAGATCAGATTTTTTTCTGAGTCACAGTAAGTGTGGAGAGGTGTTTGCTATTAACTTACAGTTATGAGATCATTCACTTCTATGACTTTATCTTCTTGGCTTGGTACCCTTTTTATTAGAACATTATCCTCATAGTTGTAAGAATTCATTTTCTTGATTACATTTTCATGTAGTCTCATAACTCTGTGATCCTACAGCCACAGCTTTCAGGTCTAAATCATGTGGCCTGACTCCAAAATGCAGTATGTTAAGTTGGGCTTGTTATAAAACTGCACAAAATGATCTAGAATCTCAAGATGGTAGCTTTAGTGTCTGTTAGAGTGTCAGCACTGTTAGAAGTAGTGAAAAAGAATAGTAATGTTTATAAGTAGAGGAGAGGTGAGAAACAGAGGCCACAGCTCTGTATGTGTGGAAAACACTGTGTTCCAAGGTTTCTGGGATGAGTGTGGTGACACACACTTTTAATCCCAGCACTCTGGAGGCAGAGGCAGGAGGATCTCTATGAGTTTAAGGCCAGCCTGATCCATGCAGTGAATTCCAAGCCAGTCAGGGCTATACAGTATGACTCTGTCTGAAAAAAAAATCAAAAGAAAGTTTATTGAAACAAAAGGTATATAATCAGAAAAGAAGCAGATGTAGCATGACATGAGATTAGAAGAATGCTCTGGAATTTTTAGACAACAGCCCTGTAATACCAACTTAAAAGAATGAAACCTTTTCCTTGAAAAATAGTTTGTAAACGTAAGTTATAAAGAATAATAAAGCCAACCACCCCATCTTTAATAACCAAGCACCAAAATATGACCAACCCTGTCATCATCATATGCACACCTGCTCACTGGCCTCCCCCAGGGTGAGTGCCTTCCCTTGTTCTTTTCCTGTTTAAAACAAAATCAGATTTATTGAATTATAGATGACAAAAATACTGCTTCATTGTAAAAGTGATTTCATCCTTTATACATAATTCTGTACCTGAGTTTACTCAAATCCACTGTTTTGCTACCATGATTTGTTTGTTTTTACTGCTCTTGGATTGATATTCCAGCATTTGTATGTGTGTGCCACATTAATTCATCTATTCTCTTGTTGGTAGGTACTTAGTTCCTGAGTGATTTTGCTTTTGTGACCAGTACTTCCACAGATAATAGATTCATGTATCCTGTGTGCACTTGGAAGGGGAAATACAAACCATACATGGAATATAAATTCACAAGTGCCAGCCTAGCACATAAGGGTTTGCATTGATTGCAATGTTAACACACGGAACAGAGAGAAGTCATTTTTGTCAAATGGGTGTCTGTAAATAGTATCACATCATTATAGTAATTGGCATTACTAACAAGCTTCAGTGTGGAGTTACTCACACTTATGTCTTTGTCCTATAAAGTCTGTCCATATCTTTTGACTGCTTTTTTGTTGTGTTGCTGGTATTTTTCTTCATCTTAGGTTTTAAAACAATTCGTTTTTGAACAGAGCTCTTTTCTCACTTTCATGTCAGTTCCTACAATATCTTCTCCAACTGTTGGCTAGCCTTTTCAAGTTTGTTTCTAGTCTTCCAAAGAATAGAATTTCAAGTTTAAATTATCAATTTTTTTACTATTGCTTTTTATGTCTTCTAAAGAACTCTTTCTCCCAGCTCATATGACATTCTCCTAAACTCTCTTTGAAATGTTACAACTTTGCCTTTTAAACTTAATCCTTAGGCTCACCTGAACTGATTTTTTTTTCCTTTTTGTTTTTCAAGACAGAGTTTCTCGGTGTAGCCCTGCCTGTCCTGGAACTTGCTCTATAGACCAGGCTTGTAAATGGACATATCTGTCCCTCCCACCAATTCCCAATTAACCACTCAGAGGCTTATATTAATTATAAATGCTTGGCTGGTAGCTCAGGCTTACAGTTAAATTAACCCATAATTCTTATCTATGTTTAGTCACATGGTGTTGTATCTTTTTTCAGTGTGACATTATCATCTTCCTCTGTGTCTGGCTGGTGACTCCTCACTCTAACCTTCTCCTTCCCAGCATTCTCAGTTTGGCCACTCCACCTATACTTCCTGCCTGGCTACTAGCCAATCAGCATTTTATTAAATTTGAGTGACAAATCTTTACAGTGTACAAGAGGATTATTCCACAGCATTTCCCCCCTTTTGTCTAATTAAAAAGGAAGGTTTTAACTTTAACATAGTAAGATTGTATATAACAAAAGCAGTTATTAAGTAAGAATTACAGTAACACTGTCCAATCCATTTACATTTGACAAAATTAGAGAAAATAATTATCCTATCTTAGTGATTCTAAAGTTTTCTATCTAATTTACTTTCTATTATATCTAAGGAAAACTTTGTTTAGTTTTTTTCTTGACCATTATCCATAACAACTCATAACCAACCCCCCCTAAACAATGACAAATATCCATAATTTATTTTGGGGGAATGTGGGCATAGTTCTCTAGACTACTTCCTGTTGATTGGGGAGGTTGGTAGTCTTTTTGGGATCCTGAGAAAATTTAGCATAATTGTTAAGTCTTAACTGTAGTATCTTGTGGAACTGGATCATCTTATTCAGTGGCCTTGAAGCCGTTTTGGATGCTGGATCATCTGGGCCATCATTTTCATTGGTGTCTGGTCCCCTTGCTCTGAAAATATATAAACTTTTAAAGGTAACATATACCTATGTATTAATACAAATACAAACTGTGTATTGTACATAAGCCAGTCAAAGACAATTTTTTATTTTATGTCTGTGCAGGTAAAATGTATGTTACATGTCTTAGAGTTACTTTAGATTTATTTTCCCATGTCTGTAGTTAGGATTTCAGGGGGGTCTTCCTTAATCAAACCTGATTTTCCTTAACCCAGAATGAATCCATAACCTCTCATTTTTGGTGAAAACAAAACAAAGAAACCTCTTTTCCAAAGCAACATATCCCTTGATTTAAATTTTGAAGTCAAGAATTTTTAAAATATATAGGTTTTTTTAATCCAGCAGTTTTTATAATCAAATGTCTCTTAGCAGTTATCATTTGTTAGCTGCTAAAAATTTTAAGGACAGCACAATAACATACAGTATCCAGATTCTCTGTATATTTTCCACCCTTATGTGGCTTTTTAAAAATATTTATTCCCTTTTAAAGGATCTTATTTTATTATTTTAAAACTTTACATTTTTATTTTTTACAACTGTCTATACCTTCTTTTCTCTCCCAAGTCTATGTATTCTTTTTAAGTGCTGTGACTCATTTAGAGGTTTATTTTTTCTTTTTTCTGAATCTGTCTTTTCTGCATATCTCTTTTTCTGACCACATGAGTCTTTAAACTACTAAGCAGGTGTGGTTAGGATCAAAGTGGTGGTTTTGGCAGCTGGCTCCTCCACATTCCTTGGTTCTGAGTGCCTAGCTTCACTTAGGATGTACCAGTGGTAGCCACATTTAATTCACTAACTCTGGGGAGTTTTGTTGCCACCAAGCAGTGCGCTACCCGCTGCTCATAAACCCTATTTAAGTGTTTGGTAGCAGGGCCTCTTAAAAGAGCTGAATAGTTTTTGCCAATAACACTGAGCCAGGAAGTTGTCTCTTAAAGGAGCCACACCTCTGCCTGCTGCTAGCAAACAGCCCACCCAAGAAAAAGCAGTTACCAAGAAGCTGAGTTTGATTCCATTTTTGTGTTTAGAATCCTTTGTAAAGCTTTGTCAGGTTTTATGTGGAAATTTCAGCACACATAGGAATGCCATATGTAAGCAGATGTTTCTGTTCTACTCACCAATTCCTAATAACCACTCAGAGGATTATATTAATTATAAATGCTCGGCTGGTAGCTCAGGCTTATTACTAACTAGCTCTTATACTTAAATTAACTCATAATTCTTATCTATGTTTAGCTATGTGGTTTGGTACCTTTTCTCAGTACTATATTCTCATCTTGCTTCCTCTGCAACTCCTCACTCTGACATTTTCCTTCCCAGCATTCTCAGTTTGGCTGCCCTAACTTCCTGCCTGGCTACTGGCCAATCAGTGTTTTATTAAACCAATTTGAGTGACAAATCTTTACAGTGTACAAGAGGATTATTCCACAACACAGGCTGGCCTTGAATCCCCCTGCCTCTTCCTCTTAAGGGCTGGGATTAAAGGCATGTGCCACCATTGCCATGCAGAAGAGAGGCTTCCCTGGCCCAGAATCAAATCCAGGCCTTGGTAGTGAGAGTGCTGAATCCTAACCACTAGACCACCAAGGAGTGTCAAGTATCTTGTGGACTGAGTTTTATTTTGACAATGAAGTGATAGCCAATTGTTTTCCTCTTTATGGATAAATGTTCCTTGCATGATTTATTGAATGTTCTCTTATTTTCCCCATCAACTTTCAATGCCATTTTGTCACAACAAGTGTCTCAGTATCTGACAGTCTGTTTCCAGGCTCTCTATTCTCTTCTGTAGTTGTTTGTATCGTAATTACAGTATGAAAGTAGCTTCATTTTTTAGTTCTTCCTTTCTCCTGTTCCACAACCTTCAAAGACTTGGGATATATTGTTTTAGGATAGAAAATAACTTTGAAGTGGGTGTTTGCCCGGCCTGTTCCCTTTTTGTACTCATGGTATAGCTCCTTTTAAACCATTTCACGCACAGCTCATACTAAGCCCCATTCTGTGCCTGGCATTGCGCATTGCTTGTAGCAGATCCAGTTGGACTTTGCCAAGGTCCCAGCTTCTGTGAGCTGAGCAGAGACAATGAGCATGCAGCTGTCAGAAAAGAAGTGATTTCTAGAGCCTTTTTCCAGGCTCCAATGATAAGAGATGATGAAAAAGGAGAGGAGTGGGAGATTCCCAGAAAGTCCCAATGGCCTCATAAGAGCCGTCTTAGTTGGTGGCTTCCATGCTTAATCCTTCCTCTCCTGATGGACCCTGTGACCAGAAACTGAAGGAAAAGTGGTCTTGGTAGCAGAGGCCTGCAATCCCAGCCTCTAGGGAGGTCAAGGCAGAGGAATAGCAAGTTCAAGACCTACCTGGGCCAAATAGTTTAAGGTTTGAGATACAGTTAAATGACAGTGTGCTTGCCTTGCATGTACAAGCCCTGAGTTCAGTCCCCAGGACTGCATACTCTGAAGGGAATCATAATATAATGTCTATGAAAATGTGAAGTTTCTCAGACATGTGTCTTTTAGTCTTCCCCGTGCAGTTACTGAAATATTTAGACATGTCAACACTATAGACCTCTGGATGGTTGATAGAAGAGGATCTTCTTTTTTTTTTTAATTTTTCTCATCTCAACGAAAGGCACCACATTAACTTAGGCAAGAGATATTTTGAAGTAGTAGTGAAAGACTATAGACTCTGGAGTCAAACACACCTGCATTTGGCAGTGCTAACTCATGACAGATTAGCAAAAAACCTAATAGATAGGTACTTAAAATGTTTACAATCATTCTGTAATACTTTTCCATGCATTTTTTTTTACATACAAACATGTAAACATCACAAACTAGAATCCACATGAGAGAAAACATAAGGTTTTGTCACCTCATTTAGTATTACACTTTCCAGATCTGCCATTTCCCCACAATTTTCATTTTTTATTTACAGGTAAAATCCCATCGTATCTAGGTACCACACTTTAGAAAATAATTATTTTTAATTGTGTGGATGTGTGGGGGTATGTACAGGTGCCCTTGGAGTTCAGAGATGTTGGAGCCCCTGGAGCTAGAGTGCCAAGTAGTTTTGAGCTGGGGACTGCACTTGGGTTCTTGTGTAATTACGAGCACATGCTCTTAGCTACTTGGCTGTTCCTCCAGTCTCTGTACCACACTTTCCTTATCCATTTATCTGTTGATAGATGGCTAGGCTGGTTCCAATTCCTTGTTACTGTGGAAACTGCAGTAAAGAAAGGAGATGTGTACGTATCACTGTAGTAGACAGAAAGTCCTTTGGGTATGTGTCCTAGACCTGGGTTATGTGATAATTTTATTTTTAACTTTTTAGAAACCTCTGTACTTACTTCTAAAATAGTTATGCAAATTTGCCCTCCCATAAGCATTGATTTTTGGTGATGTTAGCCATTTCTACCTGGTGTGAGAATTGCAAGTTTACTTAGTAGGATGTACACTTTAGAGACAAAAAAAAAAAAAAAAAAAAAAAATCTGAGGCTCAGAAAGGAGATCGGCATGATTACAAGGTGACTAATTTGGTTTCTGGTTTCAAATTTGGGCCACTAAGATGAGAGGTCATCAGTTTCAGGCCTGTGGGCCAGTGTGGCCTGCTATTGGTTTTTGTTTTTGTTTTTTTAATGAAGTCACAACAGTGGAGCTAATAGTTGCTATAGAGAATGTAGCCTGTAAAGCCAAGATATTCACTGTACAGCCTTGCTGTGAATATGGAAGCAAATTTTACAGGTGATGTTTTCAACTATTTTGGTCTTTGACCTAGAAAGCATTGGTGATCCTGTAAATATTTATTAGTTCAATCTTAATTTACTTGATCAAAACATTTTTCTCCTCAGAGATGAAGATAAATTAAAAACTTGGAAGCTTAAGTTTTTGACATCAAAGTGGAAAAAGGGGGAAAAAGACAGTGAAGGATCCAAAAGGTAAGACAAGGAAGCTCACAACTTCACTGTGGCAGTTTCCACTTCTGACCTTGGGCAAGACCTTAAATCTGATTTTCAGGTTCCTTGTCTGCAACTGAGAAGTAGCAACACTTGCCTCATAGTACAACTGGGAGGATTAAAAGAGACAAAGATATAAAAACAGTTCCTTGCATTCATTCCCAACCTCCTCCCTCCTCTCCACTGATGAGAAACAAGAAAGCCTTCCAAAGTTCTTACCTCTTAGGCCATAGCAGCATTCTTCCAGAAGGATAGAACTTAGAATACCAATTAGGACTGACAGCCATTACTAAAATGCCAGTTTAATTATGACGACAGTCAGTGTTAGAATGCAATGGTCATGTTCTCAGCTTGGGAGGTGCCCTCCACTCCTGTGATTTGGACTGGCTGAATGGAGAGTGAGTGTGTGCTCTGCTTTGTCAGTACTTCCTTAGCTATGTTCTCCTCTTCCTGGGTGCTGTGAATGAGGTAGGATGGGGGACAAAACTTCCAGGGGAAATCCTTAGTAAATAGTGAGTGATTTGCCTATATCAGGAAACCAATGGTTTTCCCAGGGTATCTCCAAGTTGGACATTTGTCCACAGAAAATTGAAACAACTCAGACTGGCAAAGGCACCCCCTCCTTCAAGTTTATTTTCTCTGAATGTGGAAACAGGTCTTCAGACTAAAGTTGATTGTAGCTAGAGTTTTCCTGCCTTGCCCACAGTCAGGACAAATCTTTGTCACCCGCCAGTCCCACAGCCGCTCAGACCCAACCAAGTAAACACAGAG